TCGAAGTCCCCGTCCTAGTTGATATAGCCAAGCCATTTCCTCGCTTAAATTGCTTTATAAAACCTTATCGCCTTTTGATGCAAACATTTGAGTTTATCTTTAGGCAGGGCTGATAACAAGCTGGCGCGTTCAGTGTGTATCAAAATGTTTATTGGGGCGGTTTCTGACTGGATTTTGCTGCAAATTATGCACAACACCAGTCGAGGTTCCAGACCGATGTGTCAGATGTGACTTGGTGTTAAATCAATGGTATCACTGCTATCGCTTCACATGTCCTGTATTGAATTGTCCTTTATCACAACATGTAAAGAACCCGAAGCGGTAATAAGTTTATTTTTTTGTTTTCTACTAAATTAGCCTGAAAATATCTGCTCAGTAAATAGAAACATTTTTGAATATTTTAATCATGATTAGGACTGCCAGTAAGAAAACTGTCCACCAGGCGATACAGCTTTAGCCGAAGCAACCGGAAAAGTTACAAGTTGCTTGCTACAAGCATATTTACTTCCTCGCTGAGACAGAAGTAGCTGTCAACTTCTCCTAAGTTCACACCGCCTATCTGTAATCTTGCCCTGGGTATACAATAATCTGCATCACCTTTTCCAAGTATTCGAGTAATAAAAGTTAAGAGGGGCGCACGAACAACATTGCCGGCTATTATTTGGTGTTAATGCCAGTGGTCATTTGCGTAGCTTTCAAACACTTTCACTTTCCATGGGGAATGAAATTTGGAGAAATTGCTTCTGGTACATTAAATGAACTCAACTTCTACAGATTTTCAGATGCTGTCCGGAGTGTAAAACTCACAAAGTCATCGCTGGGAGCATGAATTTGACCGCCCTGCGTCGATTGCAATGCAAATTTCGCGGAATTCATTATCAGGTGCACGACACGTTTCGTGTAGATCCATGCACACGCTGCTCCTGTCAGCATGGCGGAATTATCTGCCGAAGGTTTTTTTTTGAAATAACATATAATAATGTTATAGTAATAACAATACTGATAATAATAGTAATGATAAAACTAATAATAACAATAGTAATAACAATAATAATAACAACACATGTATTTCAAACTTCACATTTTGATATTATATATACTTTGTCACTTTATGCATACTTTGTTACTTTAGACAACTTGTTTTCATCGTCACAACAACTTTTTTATTCTTCTCTGTCCTGGGCTTCCCTAAACTACACTGTCATAGTTTACTTCCGAGTGGCTCCACCACTCGTAAAGAGTGAAAATGAAGGAAGTTTTGGCTCTTGGCTCTAAATTAGACCTGTTCGTTTGGTTATTTTTTATACATACATGTAAAATAATGTTTTTTAAAATTATTTTGCGTTTTTTTTTAAAAAGAACGGACAATTGAATAGCCTTTGAAGAAATTTCATTCATATATGAAACAAAAATGCTCAG